GCCAGCTCCAAGTAAGGACACTCGACTGAGTAGTGCCCCCTGAGATGCTTATACACCTCAACTAGGTCGCCCCTTGCCCGTCTGTAGTATAAGCTAGGCAAGTTCAGGCGCTCCAATCTCTCAGAGTAGTTGAGGTGCCGAAGTGCAGGCACCAGTCTGGTGGCCCTCCTTTGGACATTTTCAGCCAACTGACAGTCCCTAGCGTATCTCGGGGACCAGACAGGGTGACAGAAGTCCAGCTAGATTTAGGCGCGAAATAGGTAAATATTGGTTTGGAAATAGAGCAGTGGATGAATGGAACAAGTTAACCAAACATCATCATTAACTCGAACATGCTGGACAGCTTCGAACATAGGTTGGACGGATATATGAGCTATAGGGGTTGGGTGTAAATGGGACTGCCCAGTATGGGCCAATAGCAGGGCTCCCACTCTTGGGGGAAAAATTCCTAGATCAGAAAATTTTAGTGGATTTAAGGAAAATCTAGGGAAATGGCAATCTTGGGGGAAATTGCGGGAAATGTGATTATTATGAAAAGGATTATGCTGATTTCAACTGAAAGTATCAATGGGGGATATTTTCTTTTCTTTTTTTCACGGAGAATTAGGAAAATTATAAGAATAAAAGATCCACCTCCAATGCCATCTTTGGGCAGCTAGTGACACTATTTAAATGTAAACAGCAACAGCTGATCAGAGGAGAAAGAGGCAGCCGAGGAGAGCGTGGTTAAAGGCAATGAGAACTGCACCCGGGAAGAACTGGAGCAGCAGTTGGGCGAGTACATGAACAAGACCAAGAATGTACTGTACTTGACACAGAGTTGAACCAATACATGAAGGAAGCCTCAGTGTAAGGCTGGTTGAGCACAGATGAACTTGGTTTTGGAAGTAACATTGGTCTGTTGGTGGACTATACATTGCAACAGTTTTAATTAGAAATAAGACAGACTTTGTTCAGCTAAGATGGAAAAGTTTACTGTCGATGATTGAATTATGACAACAGGATATTAGAAATATTTAGAAAGGTGTTGAAGTGGGACATAGTTAGCATCAGCAAAATACTGGAATATATCTATGAAGTACCGACTGCACGCTTCTATGTATCAGTTAATGTGAGACTTCTCAGGCGTGTGGAGTTGTTATAAGTTGCAGTATTTAAAGCAACAAATATTGCAATAGCATCAGGAAACTTATCATCTTTGTTTAGAGAGCTGGTAAAGAAACCTTTCTTCACAGATGCCAGGTGGCTGATTAATTGAACTAAGGTAAGGTCAAAAGTTCACTAAATCTAATAAAAACAGAATTCAGAAACAGTTTGAGGGAGAGTCTGGTGGGTTTACTAAATTCAAGAGGGAATGGCCACAGTTGGAAAATCAGCTCTCAAATAAATTTAAGTGGGACCAAAGAATTGCTGCAACTCATGAGAAATGTGAAAAGTAATGCACCAGATGCTGAGGCATATGATATAATTGTAGAAAAACTGATATCATAAGTCATAGTCATCCATCTCTTGAAAACAAAGTAATATGTGCTAAATCTAAGCCAATATTTTTCTATTACTGCATTTACTAAATAGTATAACACTGGTGAAAGGATCTGCACTTATAATCAAAGACTGCATTTTCATTTTTATATAATAAAAAAATAGAAACTAAGTTAACAGTGCTGAAAGCACCTATGCTTATTGTGTATTCCAACGACTACATTATTTCCCTAAGAAGAAATATAAATAATGCCATTTGAGCCTTTTTTTTTTTAAACAGTACAGTTCTCCATTATAAGTAATTTACTGCCTACTAGTGCGTGTATCAGAGAGAGAGAGAGAGAGAGAGAGAGAGAGAGAGAGAGAGAGAGAGAGAGAGAGAGAGAATCATGCATAAAGGATTATAAAAAAAAATATTATCCATAAAATTAATTAAATTAAGATGAAATATTTTTTAGGGAAATATTCATTCTCGGGACTTTTCACGCTAGTTTGGGGAGTTCAAGGTTTTGCTTTGTGGTGGCCCTGGCCAATAGGCCCCCTGCAGTTTCCTCCATTCTTATGTTTTTACGTTTTTATCATTGCTGATGGGGTGGAATGGGCCCGAAAGAGCCTCTGGGGTGCCCTACATATAAATCAATAAAAAAATATAAAAATTTAGCGTCCGGGCACCGTACTTGTATCCACTACGTATAAAAATGTCTACAGTAGATGGTTGGGTAAAGTTTCACTTGTTGCCACTCGACGAAATCGAAGTTGAAACCATGTTGTCCTGGTGTTTACTGTCTTATGAAGGAATTTAACCTTCATTTCCGGGGCAAATCAATAGTTTCTGAGATAAGCCCCCCCCCCCCCTCCATCTCAGAATCTACCAGGTAGAGGTTTGCTGTAAAAATCAAGGTAAAAAGTGTTTACAACACATGGTAGATCATCGGAACAACAAAACCCTCACTAACCTAACCTGTTTTGCGTGTACCGCCATTTACGAACATACATAATAAAATGTTAAATATCTCACCTAAACGTATCACCGCCAGAAATGCCATTGAAGAAGTGTCTTACCTTAGAAATGTCAAAATTACTGATTACAACTACAAAATTCCAGAAATTCGTTTAGTGGCAACAAGTGAAATAACACCGATGTCTTAGGTACTACCCAAGCATATAAATCAAGTCCTATATAAATAATACCAAGAATCAGAGAAGACCTTCCCCTCCCGAGCTTCCCGCCATCTGTTTCACCATCCACTGACCCACCATCTAACCCCTCTTCCATCACACATCTATCATCAAATTTTACTCCTAACTGTTTAGATGCAAACTGATACTACCCATAAGTTTATCCATTTTACTTCAAGTATATCGGGACATAAATATATTACTCGTCAAACTCATATGAAGATAATGGCGCCGTACACAAGACATCCAGTACGTGACGCCTACCCCACACATCTCACAGGCTTTGAATACCTCTAAGTTCTCTACGAGTCACTCTGAAAGTAATAAAATGTTAAGGTTAAAGGCTGTCTTACCTGTTGGCCTTGGGCGTGGCCATGTTGACGTCAAGCTAAATTTAACAACTTTAAGACGGTCGACGAAAAACTGGTGAAGCTGCGTCCAGTCAAGCGCTCCTAACACGTTCACAAACAGCAAACTTAAAATATTACACAAAAGGTTATATGTTTTCTGTGTGGTAGAAGTGTTAAATAATAAAAAATAAAAATCTACCAAAATAGTTGCAGTCAAAGGAAAATGTATTCCCATATTAAAGACAATATAAATGTCAAGAGTTTCACTTTATCAACCAATCAGGGTTCAGGAGTCCAGTACAGTCCTCATGGCCGACCCTCAGGCCTCCACTCTAAACGTTCTCGGGCTGATTTTTACCAATCCTCTAAGGTTTTGTATCTCTCTGGAGATCCAGATTTTTATTTTAATCTTCCATCCCACCAGCCTCTGCCTTCCCCTAGCCCTCCCACCTTCAAAATTGTCCATTAATATTTGTTATTATTCCCCTATCCCTAATTATATGACCAAAGTACAGGTATCTTTATTTTCATTTTCTGTACATTTCAAGTATTTCTCTTGAATTTGTTGTCTGAAAATATTTATATTTTGTCTAGAAATATTAAAATCATAAACATCTTTGATGAAATTTCTTTGAAATTAAAAAAATATATACCTTGTATATCAAATGTTGTACTGCTACAGTACACCAAATATGCAAATCAGGATTTATAATAATGATCCAATATCATAGCACTGAAATTCATGTACTGTAAGTAAATGGGTTTTTTCTAATTTATAACGGCGGCTTATAAACCGATCAGTGGCGAAGAGGATAAAAGTAAAAGTGAAACAATGTTAACATTCCTTTACGAGGTTGTTTAGTAATAGATGTAACCTCATCATATACCTTTGAGCTTCCTTGTCGTTCGGTCAATCATGCGACCTTCATAGTCAAGCTTTAGTATAAGAGGAAACTGCCGTGGTTGGTCGGGTCTTGGGGCGTACCAACGGTAAGGAGGCGTATCACATGTCCCAACGGGATGAAGAAACTGCACTATTTGAGACAATGTGAGAAGGGCCTAGGTGTGTATGTTGACAATGAGCTGAAGTTCTTGGGCCATTGCGAGAAGAAGGTAAATCAGGCAAATAAATTATTGGGTCTTATAAGAAGGTCGTTCAGATATCTAGACGGTCCGTCCCTCGTAACGATCTTCAGGAGTGAAGTGCTTCCCCATCTGGAGTATTGTCACCCCGTCTGGTCCCCGAGATATGCTAGGGACTGTCAGTTGGTTGAAAATGTTCAAAGGAGGGCCACCAGACTGGTGCCTGCTCTTCGGCACCTCGGCTACCCTGAGAGATTGGAGCGCCTGAACTTGCCTAGCTTATACTGTGGGGTTATGTTGTATTGGTTCACACTCAGGATGGGATGGAGAAAGGAAACTCACAATGTGCTCACTGTATACATATTGTATTGGATGTACAATGCAGCTTGTTGCTGGGTAGGTAGCGTGATAATAAGCGTTGAGTAGAGAGAGCTGGGTGGTGAGGGTGCCCAGAGGAGGGACACGCAGCTTGAGGGACGCCAAGGTCGCCGGCGGGAGCGGCAGCAGCCAGGCTGGCGCGGAGGAGGAGGTGTTGCTTGCTGGTGGCACTGGGTAGAAAAGAGGCTGGTCACAGCGGTGTCAGGCCTTATAAGGCAGGGGTAGGCGTGGGTAGATAGTTGACCCCCGCTCCGTGGGCGGCGCTGGAGGCGTAGGCTGGGGAATTCGAGAAGGTTTGGTGCTTTTAGGGGAGGAATCCACTACAATACTACAGACGGGCAAGGAGTGACCTAATTGAGGTGTATAAGCATCTCAAGGGGCACTACTCAGTCGAGTGTCCTTACTTGGAGCTGGCGGACGCTCGCCCCACAAGGGGTCACAGCTCAAGATTGAAGAAGCCGCAAGTCAAGAAAACTGTGAGGGCAAACTTTTTCGGAGTGAGAGTTGTGAACTCTTGGAACAATCTGGCAGAAAGTGTTGTGACGGCACCGAGTGTGAGCTCTTTCAAGACAAGACTTGACCAACACTGGAGCGGGTTCAGGTAGATTCAGGCAAGGTAGGTAGATCTACCTACCTTGCATTCAGGAGCCGGTGCAGGCCCAGTACTTGCCAACAGTGCGTGACAGAGACGTGACCGATCGCCCAAGCAGCTAACGAGTCTATCAGTGGTGAAGGGGATAAAAGTAGAAGTAATGACACCCTTCTCACATATGACCTACACCGATGACCGGGATCGAACCCTGAACAACAAATTTTAGAGGCATGCAAGTTACAGCTGTACCACCAACACTGTAAAACCTCTGTAACTGTGTGTTCTTGCGAATGTAAGTTGCCATTAAATTCTTTCACCAATTTATTAGAATTATCTATATATCAGAAATATAAGCAACAAGCCAGTTGAACCAGTTTTGGTGTAGGTAATCTATCTTACTACCTGACGCCCGTAGTCCACCTCTCCCTGTGATTGACAACATCGTCTGTATGAACTATGGATATTCCATTATAAGTAGTTTATTGTTTGTGCATTTGGTTTGTACAGGTCAATTTACGTGTCATGTATTTACAATTGTATATACTTAACGTACATTCGACTAGTTCATGACAAAATATGTCGATAAATATTAGGTTGTTGTTACTGGGTGGTGAGGCGAGGTATGTGGAGCAGGGTGGTGTACTAAGTTGTCTTGTTTTGGCAGATATTTGAAGAAAATGTCTCAAGAGGAGTCACCAGGAAAGGACGCTCAAGGAGAGACTACTAATCTAGACTATGATAAGAAGACGAGTAAAGGAGAATTAGCTGTTAAAGTTATATGTTTGGGCGACAGTGCTGTGGGGAAATCCAAGTGAGTGTTGGTGTGAAGAACTTTTCTTTAAAGAGGTACAGGATTAGTTGTTAATTATATAGGACTAACCAGTTAGCGAAATTGATTGAAAAAATGGTTAGTTTTCGTTAACCACCCATCACATTTTTTTTGCTAGTTTTCTTATTGTTTTGGATGATTCTGACATTATCTTTAGGGCAGATCACTTTTTTTTTTTTTAGTTAGGTTAGGTTAGATCAGATCAGGTTAGGTTAGGACATGGCCTGTTAGGTCAGGTAACCTAACCTAACTGCAAAAAAAGTGATTTGCCCTAAAGATATTGTCAGAATCATCCAAAACAATAAGAAAACTAGCATAAAAAATGTGATGGGTGGTTAACAAAACTAGAGCGACGCTGCGTTTCACCATAACATCAAATTGGCACAGAAAAATTTGTGATTCTTACAACTAATAAATCACGAATATCGCATTTATTTTTGGAATGCGCCGCTAAATTCAGGTATATTCTTTTGCATCTCGACGAGATCTACAAAATGATAGAAAAAAAGTTGTAAAAATGTGTTGGGTTGATAACGAAAAATAACCCCCAAAATTATGAAAACACCGGATTTTCAATTTTATATTATAGTGGACACTTATATTTTGTGGAAAAATGAAAAAAAAAATATATTTTAAAATAAACAAACATTTGTGGGGATGAAAAAGATACCTCACCAATCTAACGTTGATAGGTAGTAGGTAGTAGGCAGCTACCAAACAGGGAGGTACTACTGCCTGGGAAGGTATTGGAAGCATAATGTGTTGTCTAATGGTAGACCCTGCTGCCATATGGCATCACGAAAATTGTGACAAAGTCCCAGGTTGCTAATCTGACTTTCTGCCTCATTTACACGATTGTAGGGTCTCAATTGTTTCTCTTAATATTAACAACACAACATACATATATTGTTTCTCACTTTTGATTTTTTTCATTTTGTATTTTATTATTATTATTATTATTATTATTATTATTATTATTATTATTATTATTATTATTATTATTATTATTATTATTATATTATCGCCCCCCAGGCCCCGATGTGGGTCATTGACCTGTGCTTGGGTGGACTAATCCCCTTAAAAAAAAAAAAAAAAAACTTACCTAACCTTACCTAACTTCCCTGGTATATTAAACAGAAAGAACTTACTATGATATGGTGAAATTTGAGGCATATTCTGGACGTGAGATGATACGGCCACATCGACGCTATGCACCCCGGGCGGCGGAGTGATTTACTGTATTGGTGGGTCCCACAATGAATGATCATCATATCAGAACTCACTGATGAAAATAATGTAAGAAAATAAAGAGTCTCTATGTAAAGGAACAATGCCGTGATCTTTAAACTATTGAAAGGTCTCGTTGTCTTAACCCATAAAATCACACATTACGTCCATATAAGATCGGCGACAACTTTCACACATCACGCTGAAAAACAAACTGCCTCGGGCTCGGGAAAAGCCCCTCAGCAGAGCTCGGCCTCATACCGCCTGCAAGATAAACTATTGCGCGCCTAGGCACCTAATTATCTATGAAACAAACAATTTCCATAATAAATGATTATCATATCAGAACTCACAGATGAAAGTATTGTAAAAAAAATAAACAGTAATAAAAGTAACTCGCTCACGGGTTAACTGATTATTTACTAAAATTCTTATGCAGGTTCACATTGATTCAGCGTATACAGTACATAGCCAGTACAGTTACACAAATAATGGCAACCAGTTCATTAATTTACCCAAATATAGCCTAAAAGAATGAGGTATTGAACTTTTGATTTCTTAGGAATTTTCACTAAAACTATATTTCATACATAGACTGTGAACTTGTGGTAATGGTGGAGCAGATGGCCAGCACCAGAAAGACTATGGAATTGCACCAGATTTTCAGGAGAAATTGTTTGGATAATACTAAGTAAGAAAATTGAAATGACAATGTACAGAACCTATTATTACCTAACCGACCTAACCTAACATAACCTAACCTGACCTAACCGACCTAACCTAACATAACCTAACCTGACTTAACCGACCTAACCTAACATAACCTAATGTGTGCATTGTCATTTCGATTTTTGTACTATCAACCAAACAACTTCTCTTGAAAAAATAAACCAATTCAATCCAAATTAAATACAGTAATAGACACACCCGATGAGATGGTCGTTCATATCTTGACGTGTAAACAAAGGCTGCAGATGATGTGAACCAAAACCTGGGAGATCCGATGGTGCCATAATAATGATAAATAATTTATTTCTTCACTTACAGAACACGTAGATAAGAGAAATTCCATCCATATGATCAGTGTTTTTACCCCGTTATTTCCCTCTTCTCTCATGTCCTGCCCACTAATAATTGGTGATTGAAGGATGGGCCAAAAAAAAGACAAAATACTACAATGATGTAGTTTCAATTTTATTACCGGGGTATCGTCCACAGAACAACTGGACAATATGAACAAAATATATATAAAGCTCGTTGAGAAGTGGTAAATACTGTACTTTGTCCTCTTGCAAGTTTATGTAATTCATCACTAAATTTTGATTTTTAAAAGAATAAATGAGTCACGAAGTTTGGAATCCCTTGATTAATTCACCCAATGATTAAACACCCTAATACTAACCTAACCAAATTTAATCTAGCTAAACTTAATCTAATAATCTAACCCCTCCATGTAGTATTGTTTAACACCTTCACTACAGGGATGCTGGCCGATTTTATTCAACTCGGAGGCGACCCCATACTTAGAGGGTTAATGATCAGGCGAAATAATCGTGGGTTCCTAAACATCATGAGTTAACAACAGATCAATAATATTCAGTAGTGTATATTCAAGTTAGACACTGTACTGTATGGGGATAGATTCTTGCTTAACTCAGACAAATGTTATGATAAGGAATTGTGCTGTAGGTGTGCAGGTTACAGGTCACTGCACATTTACTGATCTCTATTTACACCACCATACAGGTTACAGGTCACTGCACATTTACTGATCTCTATTTACACCACCATACAGGTTACAGGTCACTGCACATTTACTGACTCTATTTACACCACCATACAGGTTACAGGTCACTGCACATTTACTGACTCTATTTACACCACCATACAGGTTACAGGTCACTGCACATTTACTGACTCTATTTACACCACCATCCCTGTAAATCTAACATCATTTTTTTGTCCTCTCATCACTGGATTTACTTCCCTGTTTTAAGAATGAAACTTTATAGTGAAAACCCTAAATAAAACAAGATACTTTATTAGTACCATTGGAACCAACCTATTTGATACCTTTACACTGAATTCCTTATAGCAATACAAATTTTACTGATGGATATAAATTTAAACCCATTGATTAAGCAGTACTGTACTATTTCTCCCCATCTACAGTATTTATTTATTTTTTAATTAAACTCAAGTGATGTTTGTGTCTGGTATAACTTCAGGCTTGTGGAACGCTTCTTGATGGATGGCTACCAGCACCAGCAGTTTTCAACGTTTGCTCTTACACTGTACAGATACCGCACCAAGGTGGAAAACACGGATGTCTTAGTAGGTAGGTCCTGTACCCTTCATCTTATCATGGTTTACTACAATTAACTACCAGGAGTAAGTGAGCTAGAACAATGCCAGATAATATTACTGTACTTACATACCTATCTGAATTATCTACCAATAAGATTCACCAGTTTATTACATCTTAAGACAATTGGCTGAAGAACTTAATGAGTAATTTTCTCCATTTGTGCAAAAACTGAAATATGTCTTTTATAACTTTACACCAGTTTGAGATGACTGGAGGTAATACATAATTCAATCTCACGCTAACCATTGTTTTTGAAAATGAGGGATTAATGGTCATGGTTTACTCTACGACATGACAGTGTTGTTTTTTCTCACTGACGTGGCTCCCTGTCCCAGCCGCAAAAATGCCCGAAACTTTAAAACTACCCACAGGCATTCTTGGGTACATCCAGGGTGTCATCCACAAATAATAGAGGACCGCAAAATATAAATCCGCGAACTTGGTGGAGGGGGAGGGCTTTAGTAGATAAAGCATCATTTTTCACATTAGGATACAGAACTGTACTGTATTTATGTGTCTTATTTAATTTTCAGATTTTTGGGATACAGCAGGGCAAGAGAGGTTTCAAACAATGCATCCATCTTATTATCACCAGGTACAATACAGTATAGAATATAGTTTTATCATGGTACAGTTATCCTTGCATCAGTTTCACAATTCTGCATAAATAATCTTTTTTTTATTGTAACTACTATACAATAATCTCTTCCAACTTTTGACTGAAATTTTAAACTTTTGGCTTATTTTGGACACTGAGGCTTTTGAACAAAAATTAAAAATTATGGAATAAGTTCAAATTTTCACATTGGTTTGTGTTCTTATTGTTTAAAAAGCTTCTATTTTAAACAGTGCCACACCAGTTATATACATTACTCTATTATTAAGGTACATATATTGTATTTATTTATTTTTTCAGGCTCATGCAGCCATTTTGGTGTTTGATGGCACTCGCAAAGTAACTTATAAGAATCTCCCAAACTGGTACAAGGAACTGCGTCAACACAGACCAGAGATTCCTTGTTTCTGTGCAGTCAATAAGATAGATGGTAGGTACTGTACAGTATAACTGCTTAATTTCAATAAAAAATCCTTTACTACAAGTTTATTTGGCTATGATTGGTGTTAACAATTCTGTAAAGCTTTGAAGCAAAAGTTATTTAGTGACACCAGAGGTTATAAAAAAAAAAGAGAAATTTGAGTAGCTAAATGGGGAAAGAATTGTTTTGAATGATTATGTGAGCAGAGTGATTTGTGGAGTATGAGGTGCTTGCCAGCAGGGCAAGTAGAAGGGTACAGTACAGTAATTGGAAAACACCTTAGCATGGCCAGTTTTTCAGTGTGTAAAACATAAAGGCCCTAGTGTGAGGATCCTCATGGTGGAAATATCTGTCTGTGTGCTGTCCTCTCAAGCCATGTTTTGTGAACAGGTATTCACTACACTGTACTGTGTGCAGTATTTTGTCTATATGTTCTTGGGTTTCTTGCAGGGGAAGAGGAGTTGGATGTTTTACCTAGTCATATTGTAAAGCAAGTGTTATCTTAATTTGTGTCTGATGGGAACTGGGACAATGTACAAATGAGATCAGCCAATAGTTAACCCCCTTCCCCTCACATAGTTGTGGGGGTTAACTTCAGGTGGTCAGGCTGGGGCGATGCTTCAGGTGATCTATAAAGCTTTAAGTGCAAAGGGTTTTGTTTATGTATCTGTCTCGACTACATGACTGCTGCTGTAGTGGTAATGGTCATGATACTGACGATGAGTTAATGAATTAAAGCCAGGAAGTTCAACAATAAATTATGATAACTGACATAAGCACATTTAGAAATTAATTTATTACTGAAGTAATTGCTCATTAATGAGAGTTGGATTCTGTATGATGTGGGATTACCCTTCTGCACTATAAAACTTGAGTCTTACAGTAATGTAATGAATGGCAATGAAATCTGCTAATTCTGAAATATTAAAATAGTGCTGCTTTTTTTTCCAGAAAATGAAGATATTGCTGGCAAGAGTTTTGCTTTCCCAGAGAAGAACAACATCCCCATGTATTATGTGTCAGCCTCAAGTGGCACCAATGTTGTCAAGGTGAGCCTGACTCCTCTGCCCTGTAACACATGGCATAACTCTAAAGGGTTTGGTTGAACTGGCATATACTTTGCAATCATCACAGTAATAGACTTAGAATGGGTATATACAGTATAAGTCATGCATCATCCAGCAAATTCATGAATGTGTTTCTCGGCAGTTGTTCAAGGATGCCATTCGTGCAGCCTTCCAGTATAAGAAGAACCCAACAGACTTCACAGACCAGATCATGGAAGAATTGGAGATGGATTTATGAGCCATGAGCCAACATCTGTAGGCAGCCTCCAGGACAGTCACCAAAATAGGACCCTCCAACTTGTGATAACCTGTGCAAGTTACCATCATCATTGAGGTACCAAACTTGACCTTGTTTAAGTACCAAAGTCTAAATTAATTTCAGTCATTAGATCTTGTTTAGTTTTAAGATACTAATCTCTCTAGTAGTTTTATGTTACAAAGTTGTTATGAATTCTAGTGTTTGATGTCATAACTTCCTCTAGGTTTTAAATTGATCTCTTGGTATTTAGTTTAATAGAAATGCAATCTAATGGTACTAATAATTGTGATGTACTGGATTCAGTGCTATACGTTTTGGTCAACAAATTTGTTTTAGTTTGTGGTAGAAAATATTGGTTGTAGGTATTGTGCCTCCACTGTATACCCTGTACTGTACTGGTAGACTTTAACAAGGAATTCTGGTAACAAGGTGTAATGTGTAGTTATTTAACACTCCAGTAATTCTGTGTAATATATAATGAGGTGGGGTAAGACTTGTTTCGGGATATAAGGATAAGACTGACTTATTCCATCATGTTCTTAATAGTATTTTGGTCGCCATGTTGAGTTTTTCGCACGAGTCAAGCTCCCAAAATAAAACAAAATCACAGTTTTGTCAGATATGTTTTAGATATGTAGAATTGTAATGACAAAGAGAGATTTATCAACAAAATATTTTTACTTAAGACATTTTACAAAATAATCTTTTATTTATTTTTTTATGTGCATAGTACACTAATATAATATATTTTTACACTTAAGCTTTAGTTGTAAATTATGTTTTAAGATATACAGTGACCTTGTAGCTGTAGGAAACACATGATAATGTTAACAAATTTAAGGCCTTAAGTGTTTTATTCTTAGAGGAAATAAAGAGAAAGTGGGTGATGATGATCTTGGTTGTGGGGATCATGCTGTGATAATAATGCCGTCCAGCTCCTGTGTACACCATTAATACTGTACAGTAGTGGTGACCTGGTTGTGATATAACAAAGTGTACCACATGAAATGTACTATTCAAACTTGTTTGCTTGAAGGCAGCATGAGAAATACAATTTTGTGCATAATATACAGATGACATAAATGAGTACAGTACTGTATTGTACAAAGTGTACATACATGACTACTGTGCAAACTGAACTTATTTCTAAATACAGTAACTGAATTCACTTATATTAAAACTGCTGTATACAAATCTATTGACGTCTCATCTAAAATGGTACATTTATCCTGGTCTTCAGTAGTTAAACATCCTAGAATACCTTTGAAGATATAAACAGTACTGTACAGTACGTCCCTTATATCACTGTAATCTTTTGATGGCTTGTGTGGGCATTTTCAGGGGAGGTGTACACACTGGGGGATTTCCAGCTGATGGGAAATGTTAGACAAAAGTTGCCTCTATAGTTAACCATGCACACTATTAACAGTACACGACTTGTTGTTGTCCAGAATGTATCAGGATTGTCTGCCTTTGTTGTGTGTTTTTATGCATCAAGATGGTTTGTGCACCTTTGTATGCTTATATGTGCTGTTTATCATCCACATTTAAGTGAATCATGTAATGTGGATTTTTTTATAATTAATACTAAAGTACTATACAGTACTTTAGTTTAATGGGTTATCAGGAACTCTAGTCATCTTGTGTGAGACAGCATGCTGGTTGATTACCAACAGTTGCTATGAAAATGCATTTGTTTTGTTGCTGTGGATATTCACTGATAAGCACATATCTCTAGTATAATAATGTTTTCTGTTCATGAATACAATGTAAGTTTGAGACAAAATATTGTTAATGTTTATAATTACTGTATTAAACATAATGGTGGGGAATAATGTCCATGATGTGGCACAAATGTGTGTTTTGTTAAGTGTAGATCTCTGACTTGTTGTGCTGTAAGTTCAAGTATGAAGGATTGTATTCATCTTCAGTTTAGTGTTGTACTGTACTGTATTTTTGTGTTATGAAGCTGTTGTTTGTTAGTTTATTACAGTATTTGATATTTATGGTACAGTACTGTAGTTGTTTTAATTATAGGGGACATTGCCTATGTAGAGACAACTGAAATTCATTACACTTTTTGCTGTATTGAAAAGTGATAATATTTTAAACAACTTCAATGCTTCTTAATGGTATATATAAGTAAGGCATTATGGAATATACTCTAGGGCAGCTTTATATTGAGGAGAAAGGTGTTAATTTCTTGTACTATATTAGCTGTTTGAAAATTTTGACCCAACTTAAAGGTAAATTAATACAGGAAACAGTGGCCCAAAATTTTTATCAGATTATAATCGACTTTATTGATTATAATTCTTAATAAAGAGCTGACTAGGCTGCTGGTCTCACTATGGCTGCTGGCAACATGTCAATGGTGTTACAAAATTGTCTACATAAAGCACTGCATCATATTGTGCACTCAGTACAATACTGTACAGTCCCGGACATTCCCACATTAGACACTACCAGTAACTCACAAATGCCAAGCCTGTGAATGTGAGACTGGGGAATTTGAAGCAACAGGCAGAGATTCATTTATCGTGTAACAAAGTGTGTGTAGTGGGGGGGGGGGTATGGAACGAGGATGGTGCATGGTTATATGGGGCTGTTGTCCTGGTGGTTTACATAAGACTGGACCCATTGTACACTTTTAATAAATCAATAATTATATATACAGGATGTCTATAAAGTCTGTGTGCAGTGTAAAATGTTACTAACTTCAATTCTATAGGAAATAAAAACAATCTGAAAAATGTAATATAGAGACAATCTATTCAAGTTTTAACAACTGTAATGTTAAGATTTTTATTTTCAACATATCCACCACCATTATGGATACAAAGCATAATACGATTTTGACGTTCCACAAACACGTTCTGCAATTGTGTTTCTGTTATGACACCAATCACATCAGTTATCTTTGCACAAAGATCGTCTAAAGAGCTAGGTGTTGATGACTAAACTACAGTTTTGACAAGTCCCCATAGGAAAAAGTCCAATGGAGACAAATCTGGCAAATGAGCTGGGCAAGAGGTTGGTCCACCTCTTCCGATCCATTGATCCGGGAAAACCTCATTTAAAAAACGTCGAACTCTGCGAGCAAAGCGGCAAGGTGCGCCATCTTGCTGAAAACTATATTGGAGATAGTCTTGATTTCCTCAGTTCAGAAATTAATTAATTTTTTAGAATTTTCAAATTAATTTCACCATTAACAACTGTTCCTGCAAAAAATAATGAACCAATTATGGTATGTGTGTTTTTCCTAGAGCTCACCAGACATTTACTTTAGGTGAATCCCTTTCATGTTCCTAACCTTCTTGGGTTTTCTCTGACCCCCGGATGCGGCAATTATGTCAGTTAACCTTGCCACTGATGTGAAGTGTTGTCAAGAACTGAGACTTTTTTTTTATGTTGTAAATGGTGACAGAAAGCCAATCTTGCCTGGTATTATTCTTCTAACAACATTTGATGGACTTGAATCACGTAAGGTCGCTGATGTAATTTTACTTTGAGGATTTTGTGTCTCACTGATTTTTGTGGACTGTTTGCTAAATCTTGTTCTACAGATGCGACAGTCTCATTGTTTACTTGTGGTCTTCCAGTCCGTGGTTTGTCATTAATGGAACCAGTTTCTTTAAACTTCTTCATCCACTTTGTAATTGAGTTTCTGTGCGGTGCTTCCTTGTTGTAATGAGTCGTAAATTTTCTTCTAACGGCTGTTACGGACTTTAACCAGAGAACTCAATTTACTTTTTCTTCAATTGAAGCCATTCAGTATAGTGTTGGGTAGATTATCTGGAAAAAATTTAAAGACAGAAATTAGAATGAATATATTTCGTTGTTCGTGATAAAACTTAAACAAATTGTCTCTATTACATTTTACAGATTGTTTTTATCTCATATAGAACTGAAGTTAGTAACATTTTAAACTGCACACAGACTTTATAGACAGCCTGTTATTTAATACAAGTATAAACCCATTTCCTTAATCATAATCACCCTCTCATCTCCATCTATCCATAATACAGTACAGTGTGCTGAAGCAACACATGACAACTGCATGCACCACAAGCTCAGTTACTGTACTCCCACACCTCCTGCACCCCCCCCCCCACACACACACTATCAGCTGTGTTCATCTAGCTCCTGAATGACTGAGAAAATGGGTAATTGTTACCAGATAAATGAATCTCTGCCTGTTGCTTCAGATAAACTAGTCTCACAGTCACTGGGTTCATATTTGTGGATGAGTGTCTTAGCCTGGAAGTGTCCGGGACTGTACATAGTAGAACTAAAGTGTATCTAAGAAATGTGTTTTGGAGTGTTGGATGAAACACTGAATTGATTGGGGTTCTACTATTTTTTTTAACTGAGTTGCACTTGTTCTCATCCTCAGTTTCCTCAAACAGTGTTTGTTATTGTTAATTTACTTCTTAAATGATGATGAGTTAAATAAAATTAAATAATATTGTTAGTATGTGATAATTGTTTACCCTCTTCTTGTGTGCAGCTCAAACTGTCACTTTGCCTCTTTACTGAGACCAGGTACAGTTTAGCAGATTCTTGCACTGATGAGTGTTAACCAGATTAGGTTGTGAGAGCTTATGAATTATATTAACTGCTATTGGTTGAGACCTCCAGCACTAATGAGAACTAATACTGTAGCTCTACTTTTATGTTGCAAAGAACCAAACTCGGTCATTACTATAAGGTGAAAATATTCTAAAAAGGTATTTTCTTCTTATCTAAAGACTGGAGTCAATGTCAAATTCCCACGAGTGCGCTGATTATAGTGCGTTTTTCCCAGCTAAGAAGAGATGCTCCGCCCCCGCCTCAAGAGCTACAGCTGATTGGCTGTTGCAAATCTGTCTGATTTCATCCTGAAGTAATGATGTATTTCTAAATGAGTTTATTCATAATCGTTGGGATGACCGTTTCTGACGAGAAAGATATTTGGCTAAATTATATAAAGATACTGTACATACATTCATTATTTCAGACATTAGCATGTTGGAAGTTTATCAGAAATCTTATACATGAATTAACTGTTAAACTCTGGTAGCAAATTCACGCATTTAATATATACTTATTTTTACCCACAATAAGGCATACTAAGACAAATTACATTTCAATAATACTATATAATGCAAAACTAACATTTTAAAAGATCAGAATCACATTGAAATATTATACGGCCTCTGAAAGTTGGTGGATGAGTGTGACTGACTGGGGAGCTTGGCCGCTCACCCGTCAGCAGAGGCGGGAAATATGAAATTGTTCGCAGTCATATTTCCCGCTTTAATTCTTTCAATGTTTGTTTTATACGATGTGAAGCTCATATTGTTTTCTGAGCTAATAACCTGAGGCAGTACATTATATAAAGGAAGATTGGCCACTCAGGTTCTCATACAGTATCATGGCATAATTTTAGTCTCAAGCAGCCCACGAACTTTCATTATTACAGTAAGTCCTCGTATATCTTCACCCCGCTTAACGTTGTTCGGTACTTCGTCGCTACTTTTTAGATTACAATAATTCGTTTAACGTCCCGACGACTCAATTTAACATCGTTTTTGCGTCGTCATGGACTACTTTTTACAGCACATCACCCTCTCTTGTCTGGCCTTGCTACGCTCTCTCGGCTCTGCACGTTACCTCTCACTAGTGGAACTTCACAGTGAAGCCAAGCCAGTCTTCGTTAAGCTACCACAGCGTTTGTGCGTATTTCACGGCCATATTATTAAACAACACCTTCCCTTGAAGAGGGTCATCGTGTTTCAACCCGAGTTTTAAACTAAATGAGTCATGAGGGACACCGCAGTTCTGTACTTAACGGGGCAGTGTAGCGGTAAAATTAACTAATTCCAATACAGGTATTATAAATTTACAATATTGGAATTAGTTAATTTTACCGCCACACCGCCCCGATAAGTACAGAACTGCGGTGTCCCTCAGGACTCATTTAGTTTAAAACTCGGGTTGAAACACGACGACCCTCTTCAAGGGAAGATGTTGTTTAATAATACGGGCGTAAGTGTTTTTGCTCTTAATACTGTATTGTACTCTAATTATTCAAAATGGCTTCCAAGCACCCGTCAAGTGCTACTGATGCTAGTGTTGTGAAGAAGCAACGTAAGTCCATTAGCCTTTCTACGAAAATGGATGTTTTAAACCAGAAGGAGGAGCCACCTGCTGGGTCTCAGTGACTCACCACCCGCCGGGTCTCAGTGACTCACCACCCGCTGGGTCTCAGTGAAGGAGGAGCCACCTGCTGGGTCTCAGTGACTCACCACCCGCCGGGTCTCAGTGACTCACCACCCGCTGGGTCTCAGTGACTCACCACCCTCCTCCTCTGCTCCACTACCCACCACACACTCGCTCCACCACCTCCATCCATCAGTGAGTACAATACAAAATGATTTAGTTTATTTATATCTACTATTTTCTATAAAAATAACATTGATTTCTGTATGTATATGTAATGTATTTTATGGGGCAAAGGGAGGCTGGGAACATAACTCCCATACTTTATCTATTTCTTATGGGGAAAATTGATCCGCTTAACGTTGTTTCGTATAACGTCGCGTTTTCAGGAACGTAACCCTAACGTTAAGCGCAGACTTACTGTATTGATTCAGTATTTGATATTGACAATATTATTGATTATGTGTGGATGATATTGAAGGTTTAAACGGTATACAGTGAACCCTCACTTTACGCGGTCAATTGAACCCACGGTGGCCCGCATAAAGTGAGAAACGAGTAAAGTGAACAACATAACATATGGGATTAATTGATATAGAGACCGGGCCGACCCCCAAACTCCACTTTTTCAGACACAATACCTACGTTGTAGTAAAAATAACTTCTTAATTTTATGATGGTTTGCACACACAATTAATAATTAAGAGAAATATCAATAATATTAGGTTTTTTAACACTTACATTAGTAGAAAAGATGGCTGGGCACACGGGGATGGGGTTGGTTCCGAGGCAGAGGGCAGATTATTGGCCCTCACCTGTATCACTTGTATCAATTGTATCACTATCCACCACAGAGGCTTGCAGGGCCTCTTTGTCAAACCCCTCAAATTCCATATAAGTCCATATCCTCACTATAATTATCACTATCACTGACTTGGGCCGGCTGTGGTGGGTGGCGGATGAAGAACTCGGTAATGTTTTGATGACTGGGCGACCTTGTACTCACCCTGCCTGCGCCACTCTCCGCGTAAAAGGGTACACACACCGCGGAAAGTGAGCATTCCGTGTTCGGCAGGGTACCGCGTAGAGTGGGACCGCGTAAAGCGAGGGTTGACTGTATTGAAAAAATGATAAAGGATTTGATATAGTGGTCCCTTGATTAACGAACACAATTGGTTCCACAGAGTCCGTTGTTAAACGAAAATTTTGTTAACTGAATCTCTTATTTCAATAGGATATTGGGTAATTGGTTCCAACTCACAGAAAAAGTATACATATTTTGTACTGTATACCAGTAATAGAATTAACAACATTAAATTTAAACTAAATACAGTACTGTACTGTACTGTACAGTATACTGTACAATAATAAATAAAAAACAATAGAATATTGTATTTTAACTTACTTTGAGGTGTGTACTGTATGTCGTATTCCCGGCAGCTTTGTTTACATATCAAACAGCTGATTGTAGAGGCAGTCGATGATGACATGCCATATTCTTTACAGAGTGCATTGGTTCTAATGCCTTCTTCATGTTTCATAAGAATTTCTGCACTGTATATTATCAATATGTTAACTAAATTTTAGAATGACCCATAATTTTAATGTAAAAATGCAAAAATATTCAAGAGACCAACAAACTCTATGTTCACTACACTGTAAACAAAGTTAAACTGAGAAGCGTTGGTGGGTGATTCGATCAACTGAAGGGCGCACAAAAACTGTTCCCTGTACTGTATATATTATCAATATGTTAACTAAATTTCAGAATGACCAATAATTTTAATATAAAAAATGCAAAAAATATTCAAGAGCACAACTTTCTTGATATTTACTTCACTGGACACGAATGTAAACATAGAACAGATTACTGTTTTGGCGGACTAGCCTATCAGCTGATGCACACAACAAAGCGTGTTTTTCGTAAGGCTGTCTTTAATCGAAGTTTTGTTTGTTAGTGGAACTGAAACTCCTTATGGGAGCTAATTCGTTAACTGAAATTTCATTAATTGAACCGTTCATTAATCGAGGTACCACTGTATTTATTGACGGGATCTCAATACAGTCGGGTCGGGATATATCACGAGATAGGGTCCAGCGATGTTCGCTGTACTGTATACTAAATCGCGATATATAATTATATGTAATCAATTGGGAAAATAGGGCTAGGTTCTGGAGGCCAAAAAAAGTGACTAAACTTGACCTAACGAGTTCATTTTCTTAGTAACTAAAGCACCAATGAACACTAGACTCGGGAACAACAGACTATTTCGATATCAATGACCACCAGACTCAGGAACACTAAACTCGGCAGCTGACGCACCATCCTGGGAACACCAGACTTGGTAGCTGACGCGCCATCCCGGGAACACCAGACTTGGTAGATGACGCGCCATCCCGGGAACACCAGACTCGGCAGCTGATGCGCCATCCCGGGAACACCAGACTCGGCAGCTGATGCGCCATCCCGGGAACACCAGATTCGGCAGCTGACGCGCCATCCCGGGAACACCAGACTCGGCAGCTGATGCGCCATCCCGGGAACACCAGATTCGGGCTGACGCGCCATCCCGGGAACACCAGACTCGGCAGTTGAGGCGCCATGCCGGGAACACCAGATTCGGCAGCTGACGCGCCATCCCGGGAACACCAGACTCGGCAGTTGAGGCGCCATGCCGGGAACACCAGATTCGGCAGCTGACGCGCCATCCCGGGAACACCAGACTCGGCAGCTGACGCGCCATCCCGGGAACACCAGACTCGGTAGCAGACGCCACACTGCCACCCCCACTTGACAATCCCACACCTACATAAACCAACACCAAAAATATTAGTTACAGTATTAAATCTTTTCCTTAAAGCTTTCCATTATCTTCACTTCACTTTTCACATCACTAGCATCCCATTTACACTCGCCTTAGAAGTGGTAATCTGCAGCAGAGTCGGCTGCTTTCTCGTCACTCCCTCAGAAAGACTGAGCGGGCAAGCGTGAATGCTTGAGTGAGCAGCCACGGTGGCGCCTCTGGTGAGCAAATAACGCATTTGTTTGCCATGGCGGTACATTTGAGGTATTTTTCCTGCCCAATTTCCATCGCGAAATAAAATAATTTATTGCTATATATAGGAAAATTTAGTTAATTTTGGTAGCCGCGATATGAAAAAATCGTTAAATAAAGTCGCGATATATCCCGACCCTACTGTAATATTGAGTGGTTGGTGGTAATCACGATTATATTGCACAATATTTTGTCAGTCTGTGTCAGGAGGTCA